TATGCCATGATCAGCACTAGACCACACCTCTCCTTTGTAATTTCACTTTTAAGCCGATTTATGTCAAATCTTGGTTTTGAACATTGGCTTACTCTCAAATGGCTGCTTAGGTATATTAACAGTAAATTGAATGTTGGCCTGGAATATGGAAAAAGATTTGACTCATTGATCTTGTAGGTTTTGTAGACTTTGATTTTGCAGGTGACAAGGATTAAAGAAAATCAACTACTGCATACTTGTTTAACTTGGGGGGAAATTGTGTGAGCTGGAAGTCCCAGCTTCAGCCAATCGTTGCACTGTCCACCACCAAGGTAGAATATGTGGCTATCACGGACGTATTCAAAGAAGCCCTTTGGCTCCAAGGATTGCTATCAGAGGTAGAGTTGGTGGATAGTACAGTTACTATCTATTCGGATAGCCAAAGTGCCATTCACTTGTGCAAAATCCGGTGTACCACGAACGGACCAAACATGTTGATGTTAAGTACCACTTTGTGAGGGAGCTAGTTGAGAAATGAGTGATCAGCCTGAAAAATGTACCAACTAAAGACAATCCTGCTGACATGGGAACAAAGGTGGTCACTCCGGTTAAGTTCAAGCACTGCTTGAACTTACTGCATGTCAAATGACCTGCAGCAATCGAGTTGTGATAAGCAATATGTGATGAAACTGCACTAATAAGGTTATTTGGTTATTTTGATTTGATGGTGTGTTAAAGCTTCAAGGTGGAGATTGTTGAGTGAAGCTTAAACGGTGTCGCATTGCGCCTGGCTGATACGCTGTCGTTTTGGTGTTAGTTTAAGTGACAATCCTCAGCCATTGAATCCATCCAGATCTGACAACTATAACCATCCCAGCAAGTCAAAGTATAAAAGCAGCAAATCTGGAAAATCAACACAGTAACTTCATCTTCTCTTCTCTCACGTTTGCAACACATTTTCGGGTTCTTATTTTTACTCTTTGTCGAATATTGTAATCTGGTCTTAGGTTCTTGAGAATCTTGTTAGCATAAGTTACAGGGTGATTTTCTGGTATAGGCTTTCATTTTTCTGGTTAGCTTATTGTGATTACAGGGAGGTTCGAGTGGTTGTTGTAACAGTGTAAGAGTTGAGCGTTTTGGGTTGTGATTTGAGTTGTATTTGTAATACTTTGATCCTTATAGTGCAGTGAGTCCCAATTTGCTTGGAGCTCAACGTGGATGTAGTTTATTCTATTGGAATAAGCGAACCGGTTCGGTAAAAATCTTGTGTTCTTGATTGTGTTCTTGGTAGATTAAGTCTTGTGATTGTGATTGTGTTTGTGAGTGTTGATTAATAGGTTTGAATTTTGTTTTAAGTACAACAGAATGTAAATTAAATAAATCTTTATTGGGATTTAGATTAATGGATGTGGATCATAGTGGTCAACAAATTTATAATAAAATTGTTGAAGTTTTAAAAGATTATGATATTGTTCACAAAGTGATAAGTTTAACTTCAGATAATGCAAGTGTTAACAATAAAGCTATAGACTTTTTCAAAACAAATTTTCCTTTTTATGACAATTTGAAGTTTTTTCACCAACATTGTGCATGTCACATAATTAATTTAATTATGAAAAGTTGTATGAAAAAATTAGAAATAATATTGATAGAATTAGAGATTCTTTAGCTTGGATTACTAGTAGTAATAAAAAAAAAAATGTTGAATTTCAAGATGCTTGTATAAAATCAAATTTGTCTCTTAGAACTTTTGTATTAGACATGCCTATTAGGTGGAATAGTACTTATTTAATGCTTGATTCATGTTTACCTTATGTAAATTTAATTAGTTATTTTATAGCAAATCATAGAGGTCCTCATTATTTGGTAGACAGTGATTGACATATAGCTCAAAAATTTCATTATTTTCTTAAAATCTTTTATCTTTCTACTTTAAAACTTTTTTGTGTGTATTATCCTACTAGTCCATTAATAATACATACAATTATAAAAATTTCAGATTTATTTAAAAAAAAATAGAAACAATGAAATTATAGTGGGACCAATAAAGGCAATGGAATTAAAATTTAAAAAATATTGGAAATTCATTCCTTTTCTTTTTTGTTTAGCTGTCATATTTCATCCTAGGATTAAATTAATGGGTTTAGAAAATGGTTTAGATACGTTAAGTGAAAATTTACGAGACGAATTGTATGCCAATCAACTAGGAGAGATAAGACAGTGTCTTAAAGAGGTATATTTGCAATGTGAAAGCAGGTATGGGAACCAGCAAAGAGGCAAAATACCCGAGAAAGTAGCATCGGAAGACACAAATGAAGACTTTCTAGAGTGCACTTAATAGGCCGAAGAAGACCCAAACCTGAAGCACAACCTCCTCTTCAAAAGCATCAACAACAAATACAATGTACTCCATGCAGTTGTAAAGTAATGAGCTTCACCAATATTTGGGAATCCCTGACTTGCTACTAGTAAATCCACAATAAAGAGCCAACTTTGATGTCTTAGAATATTGGAAAATCAGAAAATATATTTTTCCATCCAGTATTATCAAGACTTGCTCTGGATGTTTTCTCTGTTCCTGTCTCAACCGTCTCATCCGAACAAACATTTAGTGCAAGTGGAAGAATTTTAAATGAAATGAGGATTAAACTTTCATCAACATTGATTGAAGTCCTCACATGTATTCGAGATTGAGAATGGTCGTGCCATTAGGATCAATACGAAGGAGTTGGTTTTTAAGGGGGCAGCCCTTGTATGTTTCTTTGGCATATAAATATAACTTTTAGGCTACTAGGGTACGGAGATTTGGAGATAGAACGTAATTTTATTTTCTTTTTCTTCGTGCTCTTCATCCCATCATGCCTAGCAAAATTCTTTAGTTCGATTCAAGGAAACTCTAATCTGGTTAGCATAATTGTGAGACTTTGTTCTTAATCTTAGTTATTCTTCTATTCGTATATATGTGTTTCTTTGTTTTATTTGTTAACGGTTGCATTATTTAATTAATTAAAGAGGCCCGTTAATTGATTGATTGTGTGATTGATTGCTAAACTGAATTTGTAATTCATAATTGTTATAATATTCAGTTAAAGTAGTAATTAAGCAAAACGATTGTGATTCAAGCTTTTGTTGATAATTACTTAAAAGAAACATGGAATGAATTAAATAATTTGACTCTTGTTCGATTGTTATTCATCTTTAACTCCTTCCTAATTTGTCATTCTATCAGTAAATTCATAAGGATTGCTTAATACCAATTGGTTTATTGATAAGAATTAATTTGTGTGCCGGGCTTAGATTAGGGGAGGTAAAGGTTGTTTGGTTTCTTGATAATCTTAAGTTAAGTATTCAATTAAAGAATAATATGTCAATAGAAGGCCATAAATTATGCCATAAATTCTGCATTGTTAATAGCTATTAATCTAGGCTGTATATACTCTCATTAATAGGAGAGGAGATTTAGCTTACCATGTTTAGCTTCCTAAAATCACTCTATGTAATTAGCATGTACAGATTTAAGTTTCCTTGTATAACTGGCAGTCTTGCCTATATAATGAAAGATCTTCTGAAAAGAAAGATAATTCAAACCATTTTGTTATGGTATCAGAGCCATTCTCTAAGAAATCTCAGTCCTAGTTTTCTCAGCCATAGCCTTAGTATTTATGGAGAAGTCAGATAATGTTTGTGTCAGATTCACTGGCAAAAATTATGCTGCTTGGGAGTTTCAATTGGAGACCTTTCTCAAGGGTAAAACGCTGTGGGGACATATAGATGGCAGCAGCAACGGGGGATCTACTGCAGAAATGTCTATCGCTGACAAGGCAGCTTGGGATGCCAAAGATAATCAAATCATGTCCTGGATTCTTGGGTCTATGGAGCCACATCTGATTCTTTCTTTGCGTCCTCATAGGTCTGCAAATGCTATGTGGAATTATCTCAAGCAAGTCTATAAACAAGACAACAATGCTAGGCGCTTCCAGCTTGAGTTGGCCATTGCTAACTATACTCAAGGGGATCTATCAGTTCAAGACTACTACTCTGGTTTTCTGACTTTGTGGAATGATTATTCCGACCTTGTTACAGCCAAGGTCTCTGCAGAAGGATTGGAGGCAGTACAACTTGTACACAAAACCAGCCAAATAGACCAATTTCTAATGAAATTAAGGCCTGATTTTGAATCTATTCGTGCCTCTCTAGTTAATAGAGATCATGTTCCAACTTTGGAGGCCTGTTTTGGAGAACTCTTGCGTGAGGAACAACGCCTCAATACTCAGAATATTATGGAGCAGTCTCGTGTTGCTTCTAATACTGTCTCTGTTGCCTATGCTGCTCATGGCAAGGGGAAGGGTCGTGACATGAGCACCACACAGTGCTATAGTTGCAAGTAATATGGCCATATTGCTCCTAACTGTCCTCAGAAATTTTGTAATTACTGCAAGCAGCCAGGGCACATTATTAAGGACTGTACTATTCGTCCTTCACGCTCCAACAAGGTCTATCATGCTGTTGTTACTGGTGACTTACAGCCAGCTCTGCCTACTGCTACTGCTGCCACGTCTGCTGTTGCTTTACAGCCTCCAGCACCTTTTCTAACTAGAGAAACAGTGCAAGAAATGATTGTGAGTGCATTTTCAGCATTGGGTCTTCAAGGTACTGGTTCTTCTTCTCCCTCTTGGATCTTAGACTCAGGTGCTTCTAATCATATGACTAATTCTCTTCATGGTTTAAGTAATTTCAGAGAATATTGTGGCTCTTCACATATTCAAACAGCCAATGGTACTGCTCTACCCATTGTGGCAGTTGGTGATGTATCTTCTTCCTTTAAGGATGTTCTTGTATCACCTAATCTCTCTGTGAATTTAGTTTCTGTTGGCCAGCTTGTGGACCAAAATTATGATGTACATTTTACTCATGGTGGTTGTGTTGTGCANGTACCTTCAGCCATTGTTACTCATATGTGCAAAAGGAGGACAACATGAAGAAACAGAAAAGCACTAAAACAATAGCAGTAGAAGATTAAATTACCTTCTAGGGCATCTGCATTTCTCGATTGACAAACTGCAAGTACTAAAGCCTGTTTCAATAACATAAAACTCAGAGCTTCAATACTCACACATAATCAGAAACCAAAGACCAAAAGATGTACATGATAATTCTGGGTAAACTTAAGAACTGAAGGTCAACTAATATTAAATTGATACATCGATGTTATATATACATAGAAACATATATAAATGAATAGCTACTGAGTCGGAATTTCAACAAAATAAAATTCTCCAACAGTGAACAAAAAAAACCACCCTTAGATACATACATAATATTTAGCTCAAATTGAGGGGGAAAAAATGACACTCTGACGAGTATGGTCAGTCTGGGTTAAGTTAAAAAAGAGCTACACCGAACAAAGTTGAACCTCTGATGAATTTAATCATCATAAAAGTTATTCTTGGAAACAGAATTTTAACTTCTGAGGGAGATATAAAAACAAAAATGAGTCTCAATACACTTAACTCTAAATTCACACTGGTCATTGTATATTCGCTATGTATGTATATATTGACATTATTAATTAGTCTGAGCAGCAGAGTGAAAGCATAATCCAATAAAGCTCAGTTTATAAACATGTAGCATAGTCTATATTACAAAGTTGAGAAATGAAAAGCCTAACCACTGTCATGCTCTATAGTAAGTGTAAAGAAACAAGATAAGCCCAAAAACTGAAAAATAAAAAAGAAATATGCCTTTCAAGAAGTTTAAAAGGGAAAATAACAATGAATAGTATCAGAACCCACCCTTACAGAGTTGAATTGGTCCACTATTGCCTGAGAACGAGCAGCTACATCTTAAGTAAATTCCTAACTCAGATATATAAGGATGTATTAGAAAGTGGGAAAATTTCTTTTAAACAAAAAATGATCCACAAAGAGAGAAAGAGGAAAACTTTTAAAACCTTAACTGTGTGGTGCTATAGGAAGCTTACCTGGAACCCATATATGCAGCCTCTTTCCACCTCTATGGTAAGGGATAATAACTGGCCGTACGGTGAGGAACTCTTTACAGACAAGTGGTTCTACTCTGTGTAAGAAATCACAACACAACATCCATAATACTTTCAGATTTATAAAATATTAAAGACAAAAATAGAAAGGAAAAAACATATAAAAACATACATGTCATTCACAAGAAAATAAAGCATTCAAAATAATCATAGTCACATTGGTATTGTTCTGAGTCAAGAAATGTGCAAACGCATGTGTAACATGAGTTACTAGATTCTTTTCACCTTGTGCAAGACTTTGTGGCATTTAATAAAATACTCGAGTGTGCAAACTTTGAACCAAACAAATATTTTTTAATTTGATTTAACAAGAGGATGTCAGCAGAGGTGGGACAATAGGAAGACAAAACCATAAACTTGTAAGAGAGCAAAGAGAGAGAGAGAAAAGAAACAGGGAGAAATAGCAAAAGACTAAATTCTTTTTTCCAATATTCTTGATTTTTGTTTATTCTACCTTAACTATTACCGTATAGACATTTAAAATGTTCACATAAAGTTTCTCATTAAACTTTGTTCACATATACAAAAAAAGTTTGAATAAAAAGATGGTGATTTTTCTTATAAGATACTGATAATATGTATTGGAACAACATGAGTTACAACGGTGGACAAGCTGCCAACAAAAGAACAAAAAAATCAGGGTTGGGGTAACAAATCTATACAAGATGTATAAACAAAAAAGAACAATCTTATTCCCAAAGAAAAGTTAAATAGTCAAAATCTATCACATAATTCCCATTGTTACTTCTCTTTGCTTAGCAAAAACCAATGGTGATTTCGAAACGTTAAATAAAATGGCTCCTCATTGCATTCACAGGCTTTCACAGTGGCACTGAGGTGTTTCAAATAATAATGACATGCCATTATTGCAGCATTTTATGGCGAAATACAGTCCACCACTTAAAAGGTCAGAAAAAAATAAATAGAGCATACTTTAGCATTGATATGGATGTGCAAAGACAAACCTATATGCTACAGGATCATCTGGGTGAAAAATGTTGAACATTTGACGACNATGCTTTTCATCCATGCAGGCTGCTCTAAGTGAGTAATAAACTTTTCCTTGTGGCGAAGTGTAACGTATGACAAACTCCATCTCATAGCCAAGTGATAGTTCTTGGCTTCATCACTACTCTTGTTGGTCTTGTTTTTCCTCCCGCCAAGGAGATACAACTCGACAACCGCTTTTGCCCTTGAAGAAGAAACATGGAATCCTTGATTACCAATTAATTCTCTAGAAAATTAGACACGTAACGCCATGAAAACAGAAAGCAGAAGAAAGTATAGGGCCTAAAAATGATTGTTGCGGGTTTGAATTTATATAAACCCTAACCTGTTATAATTTAGTGGTGCTATTTAGTAATAATTCAAGAAAGATAAAGTGAAGAAAGTAAAATAAAAGGGATGAAAGTGAGAGAATTGAGAGATGTGAGTGTTGATCTTAAATATTTTGAAGTAAAGGCGAATGGATGTCCACCATTATTTTTATAACACTCTCCCTTGGACATCCACTGCTCACAAATAAGTGTAAAGAAATATAACTGTAACATGAAGTTGGATGTGCTTTATACTGCCTCATTAAAAACCTTGTCAGGAAAACCTAGTGGGACAAAACCTGATCAAAGAAAAAAGAGTACAATGCACATATGTCTAATACAACAAACAATACAATAAACTTTTCTTAGAAACTCCCCCTAATCGATGCTCCTCTTGATCAATTCTCCCCCTCATAATGGTAGAATTAATTTAGTACCTTATTGAGCCGCCGCATACCAATGTTACACACTAACTTTTCAAGTGTTGATGTCGGTAAGGCCTTAGTGAACAAATCTGGTAGATTATCACTAGAGCGTATTTGTTTTACATCAATCTCTCGATTTTGTTGGAGTTCATGAGTGTAAAAGAACTTTGGTAAAATATGTTTGGTTCTATCTCCTTTAATGTATCCTTCCCTGACTTGGGCAATATATGTCGCATTGCCTTCATTTATAATTGCGGGAGCATCTGGGGTATGTGACAATTTGCATGTACTTTCAATATGATGGATGACAGATCTTAACCATACGCATTCTCGGTTGGCTTCATGAAGTGCAAGAATCTTAGAGTGGTTGGAGGAAGTAGCAACCAATGTTTGTTTTGTAGAGCGCTTTGTGAGGATCAGAAAGGTACCCAGCATCTGTATAGCCAACTTATTTAAGATCATTAATAGATTTCCACTAAGGTAACGAAAGACATGTTTGATCCCATTCCAATGTCGGCAAGTTGGTGCAGAGCTAAATCTTGCCAATAGATTCACTGCAAATGCTATGTCTGGTATTGTACATTGTGCCAAATATAATAATACATCTATTTCGTTTAGATACGGTACTCAATATCAAGTATCTTTTCGTCATCTTCTTTAGGACAAAATGGATCCTTTTAGGATCAAGAGACCGAACAACCATTGGGGTACTCATGTCAATAGAAGGCCATAAATTATGCCTTGTTAATAGCTATTAATCTAGGCTATATATACTCTCATTAATAGGAGAGGAGATTTAGCTCACCATGTATAGCTTCCTAAAATCACTCTGTGTAATTAGCATGTAAAGATTTAAGTTTCCTTGTATAACTGGCAGTATTGCCTATATAATGAAAGACCTTCTCAAAAGAGAGGAAAATTTGAACCATTCTATTATGGTATCAGAGCCATTCTCTAAGAAATCTCAGTCCTAGTTTTCCCAATCATAGCCTCAGTACTTATGGAGAAGTCAAATAATGTTTATGTCAGATTCACTGGCAAAAATTATGTTGCTTGGGAGTTTTAATTGGAGACCTTTCTCAAGGGTAAAACATTGTGGGGACATATAGATGGAAGCAACAACGGGGATCTACTACAGAAAGGTTTGTGGTTGACAAGGCAGCTTGGGATGCCAAAGATAATCAAATCATGTCCTGGATTTTTGGTTCTATGGAGCCACATCTAATTCATTCTCTGCGTCCTCATAGGTCTGTAAAGGCTATGTGGAATTATCTCAAGCAAGTCTATAACCAAGACAACAATGATAAGCGCTTCCAACTTGAGTTGGCCATTGCTAACTATACTCAAGGGGATCTATCAGTTCAAGACTACTACTCTAGTTTTCTGACTTTGTGGAATGATTATTCCGACCTTGTTACAGGTAAGGTCTCTGCAAACGGATTGTAGGCAGTACAACATGTACACAAAACCAGCCAAAAAGACCATTTCTAATGAAATTGAGGCTTGATTTTGAATATATTTGTGCCTCTCTAGTAAATAGAGATCATGTTCCAACTTTGGAGGCTTGTTTTGGAGAACTCTTGCGTGAGGAACAACGCCTCAATACTCAGAATATTATGGAGCAGTCTTGTGTTGCTTCTAATACTATCTTTGTTGCCTATGCTACTCATGGCAAGTGGAAGGGTTGTGACATGAGCACCACACAGTGCTATAGTTGCAAGAAATATGGCCATATTGCCCTTAACTGTCCTCAGAAATTTTGTAATTACTGCAAGCAGCCATGGCACATTATTAAGGATTGTACTATTCATCCTTCACGCTCCAACAAGGTCTATCATGTTGTTGTTACCGGTGACTTATAGCCAGCTAGAGAAACGGTGCAAGAAATGATTGTGAGTGCATTTTTAGCATTGGGTCTTCAAGGTACTAGTTCTTCAACTCCCTCTTAGATCTTAGACTCGGGTGCTTCTAATCATATGACTAATTCTCTTCATGGTTTAAGTAATGTCAGAATGTATCTTCTTCCTTTAAGGATGTTCTTGTATCACCTAATCTCTCTGTGAATTTAGTTTTTGTGGCCAGCTTATGGACCAAAATTATAATGTACATTTTACTCATGGTGGTTTTGTTGTGCAGGATCAGATGTCAGGGCAGTTGATAGCGAAGGGGCCTAAGCATAGATGTCTCTTTTCTCTACAACTACCTGTTCCACGAAGCTTACCTTCTTTCTCTATACTATCTTTACTTTGTAATAAGTCTAGAGTCTCAAATGAAGTCTGGCATAAGCGTCTTGTCATCCTAATTCTAGGATTCTATCTTATTTGTTGAAATTTGGTTTATTGAATAATAAAGAGCATTCATCTTCCATTGTGTTTCTTGATTGTGCAACTTGTAAACTTGGCAAAAGTAAGACTTTACCCTTTCCTTCTGAAGGAAGTAGAGCCACCCACAATTTTGAGATCATTCATAGTGATGTCTGGGGTATTAGACCTATTATTTGTCATGCCCAACACAAATATTTTGTGACATTTATCGATGACTACATCAGATATACATGGGTGTATTTCTTGCAGCACAAATCAGAAGTTTTTCATATGTTCAAATTGTTCTTAGCTCTTGTTGACACTCATTTTTCAGCTGCTATTAAAATTCTTCAGTCCGACTTAGGTGGGTAATATATGTCACATGAGTTCCAATCTTTCTTGCAATCTAAAGGTATTATCTCTCAACGTTCTTGTCCATATACTCCACAACAAAATGGAGTAGCTGAACGAAAGAATTGTCATCTTTTAGATCTTGTCCGAACCATGCTCATTGAGTTTTTGATTCCTCCTACCTTTTAGGTAGAAACACTTACCACAACAAAATTTCTTATAAATAGAATTCCTTCCCAAGTTTTGGATTTCGAGCCTCCATATTTTAGGCTTTATCATCACAATCCTACCTATACAAATCTTCACATTTTTGGGTGTGTATGCTTTATGCATCTTCCCTTATCGGACAGAAACAAGCTTTTTGCCCAATCCATCTGTTGTGCCTTCTTGGGATATAGTGTCACACAAAAGAGTTATTTATGCTATGATCCAAACTCTAATCAGGTTCGTGTTTCAAGGAATGTGCTCTTCTTTGAAAATCAATGTTTTTTTCCTGTGTCTTCCTCACTAGAGTCTTCCATTTCTTTCTTGCCTTCTTTTGATGACACTTTTAGTGCTCCTAGTACTCAAATTGAAAGGTTCAAGCCAGGCATGGTATACCAGCGGAGACCTCCAGTGCTGCCCCCTTCTGTTCCTGTCTTGCCATCTGCTCCTTTGCGTTGCTCCTCTAGAGTATCTGGTCCTCTTGACTATTATGGATTCCCGTCACTTATGGCAAGTACTACTACTTCTGCACTGTCTGCCACTCTATCTTCTGTTGCTATTCCTACTAGTTACTCATAAGCAGTTAAAGAGAAATGCTGGCAGCAGGCCATGCAGGAGGAACTATGTGCTCTTGAGGCTAATAAGACTTGGGAAGTGGTGGATTGTCCTGCAGGTGTGACTCCACTTAGATGTAAGTGGGTCTATTCTATTAAGGTTAAGACTAATGGTAGTTTGGACAGGTATAAAGCCCGCTTAGTAGCTCTTGGAAATAATCAAGAGTACTGAGTAAATTATGAGAAAACTTTTGCTTCGGTGGCCAAAATGACCACCATCCGCACAATTTTGGCTATTGCTGCTTCTCAAAATTTGGGTTTGCACCAAATGGATGTGAAGAACGCCTTTCTTCATAGGGATCTGAAGAAGATGTTTATATGCGTCCTCTTACAGGTTTACTTTCCACCCCTACTTCAGCAGTGTGCAAGTTGTGTCACTCCTTGTATGGTCTCAAATAGGCCCCTCATGCATGGTATGAGAAATTTACTTCTACCCTACTCAAGTTTGCTTTTCTCAAAAGCAAGTATGATGCATCTTTGTTTCTTCGCAAAACTGAGATTGGTGTTGTCATTCTCTTGGTGTATGTTGACGACATAATCATCACGGGTACTTATTTGATTTTGATATCCCAATTAAATTAGTATTTACGGGACTGTTTCCACATGAGGGATCTGGGATCTCTTACGTTTTTTCTTGGTCTAGAAATTACTGTTGGTTCACATGGTATTTTTCTGTCACAGCATAAGGATGCCCAGGATTTGGTGGCTGTTACTGGTCTCCAAGACTCTACCCCTCTTGATACTCCCATGGAACTTAATCTCAAGTTGCACAAGGAAGAGGGTAACTTGTTGTCAGACCTTGTAGCCTATCGTACGCTGGTTGGCAGCTTGGTCTATCTTTGAATTACTAGACCTGATATTTCCTATGCAGTCCAACAAGTTA